CCAGCCTGTCCAGATCCCTCTGCAGAGGGAATGCAACAGGGCTTCTGATTTTGTAAGTACTGCACATGCATTTTTCTTAAAGACTTGCAAATGGTGCTTTCTGTGGTTGGTGGAATTTTCATGTTAGGTTAATTTCACTTGTCTGCTTGTGGCTTGGTTGTGTGTGGATGTTGCCATGAAATATTAGTTAAGCAAACATGCAAGGGACCGGTGGGACTTTGCTATTCTGGGAGAATATACTTAGCCTGAAATTAGAATAAAGTAACCTTTGAAGTCATGGGGGCTTATTAAGTAGTTGTTAAAGAAGAATACTGATGAAATCAAGTTTTATGTTGGAAATAGCCTACACAGTGACTCGATATTAGCATAAACCCACTAGTGACTGAACAACCAGGTCCAATTTATAAACTCTTCTGGTGACTTAATGCCTAAAACCACCATTGAATTGCTAAGGTCAGACTCTCTAATTAGGACTGGGGTGAGTGTACGGGGTGGGTAGAAGGCCACCATTTAATTACCCCTTTTATTTCCGTAGACAAACTAATCTGTGGTTTGGCAAAAAATTATTTTTTGAATTTCCAATTTGCATGTAAAAATACAGCCCAGGTTTAATAAAACCTTTCCAGATTCTTCAGCTTTGAAATGGTAACAAAAAATAGTTGTGGCTAAAATTTTGTAATTTTAAAATGTTGAAATTAATGTGATTAACATCTCTGAAAGAAAAGTACGTGGGGAAAACTTGATGACAATATTTATTCAGTGTTTTCCAGCTTCTGGTAGAAGTCCTTCTTTAATATTTCTGTAGACAGTTGTGATACTAAGAGAATTTTTTAAACTGATCTGTTATAGTACAAGTTAAAAACAGAGCCATGCCTAATATAAGCTTGCTGCAGAAAAAACATACTTTTTTCTTCAGAAATTCTTTGAAATTTAGGCCAAGCTCTATTTGGACACAGAAAGTGGTCATGGACAGACAAAAAATATCCTCTTTTTCACTTAAGTGTGCAATATCTCAAATAACTAGAGAAAAACAGTCTATGAAATGTTAAACAGCAAGTACTTTTGAAACACCCTCTGTACTACATGACTGCTTCATTCGTCTGCAGTACATAAGGAGGGTTTTTTTGGCTGGGAGGAAGAGGGAGAGTTGTGCTTAAAAGGAATGCAAATAGTTGAATCATACTCCCATCTAGGGCTATAGTCCATCTTTTGATTTAAGGAAATTAAAATTTAGCATTACCACGTTTTACTGCAGGTCACTGCAGTGATCACTCTTTGCTCTCAGACATATTTAGCATACTCAGATCCTAGAAAATATGAGAACACACGGCCAGTGCATATGTTTGCTATAAAAACAAGTAAGGCCACCATACGAATCAAAAAAATAAAGCAACTGGTTAATCACCAAGAATCCTGGAACTTGTTTAGATAGTAGATAGATAGTGTCATCTTTCATATCTGGGAATGAACATGGGACCAGGAGAACTTCACCTTGGCAGGACATGGGAAAATACATTCCTGGAAGAGAAGGATACAGACAGGCTGTGACAGACCGGCTGGAAACCAGAAGAACGGGAGCCATAACAGTAGAAAAGTTCTAGGAATGTTTTCACGTAGAAGCTGTGAGGGCAAAAAGCTTAATTTTCATAGATAGCTTGTTACATTTCTGAAGAGGGTTTATATGAGGTGCTCCCCACAATAGCAGGGAACTGAATTCAGTAAACTAGAGACTTTTTCCAGCTCCGGTGGAGGGCAGGAGGCTCATGTGAAGTATATCATGTCAGCATTAGAACAAACACAATGAAGATATTTGTCATCTCCAACGGGATTAATCTGAGTGTCCTTTGATTTCCAAATGGGATCTGTGCTCCTCTTCTCCTCTTGGACTCAGGTGCTTCCTGTGTCTCTAGAGGGAGCTGCTCATCCCACACAGGTTAACCCATGGTGAGGGGCAAACCACCATTTAATGTTACAAACACTTGTTGCAGTCGTCCCCCCCCTCCTTTGTTCCAAACATGCACCTCATTATCTGGTGCAAACCTGCTGCTTCCTACGTGTCTTTGTGCCCACTTCTGAGTGCCCTGCTGCCAGGGCACAGGATGCTCCAGGCTTTTGCCGTGGCCAATGACTGGCCATGTGAGTAAGTAACCATGAAGTAAACAGGGGTGTGAATTTAAGAAGCACCGGAGAGTCCATGATAGCCATCTGTCTGTGTGCTGCTGTCCTGATGAAAGTGAGGGAATTTATCTCACTTCCAGCGAGAATTGAGCTGCCTCACATTTCCTCACATTTACCAAACTGCATTTGGACGGGTACAGTGGAATAATTGAAGTCTTTGAAGCCCACACCCATCTGACCTCTTGGTAACTTGTCTGCTTAGATGTACCCTATAGGAGACGATTATCCAGGGAAGATAATATTGTCAATAGAGATTATTATGGACTTTGGCTCTGTTCTTTCATTACCAATGGAGAATTGCATTTTCAAGGCAGTTACAATGGAATATTACGGTTTTATTATGCTTGACAATTTATAATTTGGTTGAATTTATTATTGACATTTGACATTGTGTCCATGGACACTTTAAATATTCTATGTATATTAGATCTTTGCAATTGCGCTATGTAATATTTATGCTAACAAAATATTCATTATTTCTTACTACCAAGCTCATTGTTACCATCTGCTCATCTAATGACTGTTTATTTTGTGACAGAATAATTTGAAAAGAAGATGAAGTATCTCCTGTGCCTGTTTCTACTCCTTGCTGTTCTTTGTGTCGTAGCCCATTGCCAGCATGAAGACATTTGCCATGAAGTCAATAATACTAATCTGCATGATGGAAAAGAAAATCTATTAACACATAACTGTAACAAGCAAGGCTCTAACTATGCAGATTTTGTATTTAGATTTTACAAGCAGGCTGTATTAAAAGAAGCTGATAAAAATGTTTTCTTTTCTCCCATGAGCATCTCCACTGCCTTTGCCATGCTGGCTGTTGGTGCTAAGTCAACCACCCTGTCTCAGATTTTTGAAGGACTGGGCTTTGATGGTCTGACTGAGACTCACATACATGATATACATGAAAGTTTTCACAAAGTTTTATCAGTACTGAACTGTACTGATGTTAACATCACATTAAATATAGGGAATGCCCTTTTTACAGCTATTGGGTATGAACCACAGGAGACATTTTTACAAAATACCAAACTATTTTATGATGCAGAATTTTTTTCTAGCAATTTCCATAAACCACAAGCAGCTAAGCAGCAAATCAATAAATACGTAGAGGAGAAAACCAAGGGGAAAATTCCTGAATTAATTGGTCATCTCGATCCAAGTACTGTATTGGTTCTTATTAACTACGTTTATTTTAAAGGTAAGATATTTAACATAATATTCCAATAGATGATTTTGATGCAAAACAAAAATTGTAGGGAAGTTTTGATGATTTATTAGCAGAGTGACTATTCTATACTGTACAGGACCTTCAAAGTAAAGATTAGAGCTGGCCAAAGCACGGTATCTGATTGTTGAGAAATACTGACTGCTTGATTTTGGCCCAGTTTACCTGAAAGCTATGGGCAGAGAAATCCCACTCCAGTGGACTACCTCATAGACAAGGACCTGCTGCATGCAGTCTTGCTGGTCTGAGGGCGTAATGACTAAAGTTGTTTCCAAGATCTCTATGCTGACTGTATGTGCCAGTCAAACTCGGTGGACTGACGTCCTTGCACTTCCAGGGTCCCTAGTATTTTTGTAGAACTACGAGGTATACTCCATGGAAACTTGGAACATCGCAGTTTGAGAGCCTATGCTTCTGGAGCCCTACTTGAATGTTAGGGTCCCTTATTCTGTTGATGAATTCCTCACCAGGCTGAGTGCAGTCAGCTTGCCTTGGGTATGGTCTAACAGGAAAAGCATAACAAAATCCTGTGGCTGAATATTTAACTAGTTGAATTTAAGGACATAAAAAGGCACAAGTGATGGGAACATATGACTACAATAGAAGCAGGACTCTCTCAATTGGTCCTCATCAACCTTTGGTTGTTTTTCAGTAAGACAGGACTTACTCACACTAACTATACTGAACTTACTGCACAGCTAAAATGCTTTATTGCATGTTATGCAAGAGGTTGAAGTGATTTAGTGATCTTCTCCCATAAACAGCCCTCCAGTGTCCTAACATTTAAGTTGGTCTGATATATAGCAGCCATTTTTTATGATCTTCACATGTTTGAGGGCAACATCTTCTCTTTTCCCCTGTTAGCTGCCTGGAAAAACTCTTTTGATCCTTTGCGTACATATGAGGATGACTTCTTTGTGAACACAAATGCATCTGTTAGAGTCAACATGATGCAATGTGACAGTAACTACAACAGTTACTACGACCAGGATCTCTCTTGCGAGGTGGTAGAACTGCCTTACCAGGGCACTGCACGAGCATTGCTCATTCTGCCTGATGATGGAAAGATGAAGCAAGTAGAAGATGCTCTCTCCAAGGAAACTGTTTGTAAATGGGATAACAAACTTGCAACCAGGTAACTCCAGGTAGATGGATTACTATATTTGAGGATTCATCATTATTTTTAAAAGAAAGCATTAATTTCATCTCACCACCTCCTGGATATAATGTCCTGATTTCATAAAGTGGAGTTTTAAGCAATTCCCAAGAGGAGCTGGAGCAGAGCATAATCAATAAACAACTGCAGGCTCTCTGACCTGACAGAAAGGGATGTAGCATTGTAACAACTGTCTCAAGACTTGCTTGGCTACCTTTTGGTTACCATATCTCTTCTTTCATAGTGTTACCATAATTCAGTTCCTTCACTGTGTCTTAGATTTTATCCTCCTTTTCCCTTCTTTTAGCCTTTCCAGTTGGTCTGCTCACTCTCTGTAGCCCTCTAGCCACAAAACTCAGCTAGCTATGTATGTGGCACTGGGATGAAGTTTCTTTTTCCAAAATCAAAGTGAGAATGTAGATACAAAAAGATGGCTCATCTCTCTGGATGCCAAAATTGCTCAAGGAAAACAAATACTACCATCAAGCAAATTAGCAATCAAAAGAATGCTTTCAGGTGTCACTGAATTGCATATTATCCAGCCCGCTGGCTGAAACAAGACTGTGAGGCTTCACTGCTGTTTCGTTTCCTTTGTTCAACAGGAGATTAGATCTGCAATTACCAAAGCTTTCTATTAGTGGGTCTTACGATGTTAAAAACCTGTTCAAGAAAATGGGCATTACTGAAGTATTCTCTAGTAATGCTGATCTGTCTGGAATTAGTAGCAGCCGTAATCTTCAGGTTTCACAAGTAAGTGAACAGACAGAGCTGGTGATGGTTGTTCTGATGGGTTATATTTGGGGTTATTAAAGACTTGCTTTCCCTCCTTATAACTGAAGTTACATATAAAACTCGCAATGACATGTAGGGTCTCACTTAGAAATTGTGCTTTTCTACAGAGAGGGTCTGCTGTCCCACCTTTGTATTATTTTAAAATCGCTATTAAAAGGCTGGATATTAAGTACCTGGAAAAGTTGGACAGGATTTTAAATGATGTTTTGGCACTGTAATATGATTTATTACATGCAATTGTGTCACGTAAATGATAAATGAGGAGTACATTAAGATATTTGTGTTGATTAGTACCTAATTTTTTAATATTCTCAAAGTTTCCAGGAAATTTCTAGTTTGCAGTAGCGAATTTCACCATGTCAGTTTAAGATACGATTTAATGTGGCAAAGATGCCAAATACTGCATTAACATTTAAATAGCAGTCTTCCATTAACCTTGGAATAACAGAGAAAGGGCTGCTAGTGGAAGTCCAAAACATCTAAGAAAATAAAACAGCTACTGCATGGACTGTTATTATCCCCCTCTACTCAGCACTGGTGAGGCTGCATCTACAGTGTGTCCATTTTTATTTTTGGTCCTGCCAGTTCAGTCCTGGCATGGAAAACACTCCTGTTGCATGGAAAACACTCCTGTTGCAGGCTGTTGGAGATTTACCACACAAGAAAGTTTGGTCCACTGGGTTTTATCCCTCCTTTCTTCTAAATATTCCATAAGAAGAGCATGTATCTTCACCCCCTGTTTGCTGTCCCATGTATAAACCACAACATTTGCTCCTTTTCCCTGCAGGCAATTCACAAGGCCCTGCTGGAAGTTGATGAGGCTGGAACTGAGGCTGCAGGAGCCACAGTCATAATCCTTACCAGAATTCTCCATCCTTCCGTTACCATCAAATTCAACAGGCCCTTCATTATATTGATTTCTGACAAAGAAACTGGCACCACGCTTTTCATGGGGAAAATTGTTGATCCTACTAAGAAGTAATTGCTGAGTTATTGGGCATGCTGGTTTTCAACATGAGTTACAATGGCTACAGCGTTCACACATGTGGGTTAGTTAGTGCTAGTAACTACTCTCTGATTGAGGGGTATTCAGAAGTAAATGAGGAATTTCCTTATCAAAATAATAAGCAATGAATTGTAAAAAAAACCAAACAAGCAACTGACACTTTTTAAATGTTATATTTTCCCCACTTGAGTAATTCAAGTAATTAACACGTTTTCCAAATTTTCCTTGGAATACTGTTTTTTGTAAAGTCTGCTGTTATTTTGACAAGTATATTCTCTCTGATAAGCCGTTTTGTCCAGACTGCTTTCAGTTCTGGGTTACTGACCAAAAGCTTTATTCCAACAGGTAACAAGTCCCCTGCAATTCTTTCATGTGTTCTCTGGAACTTGCTGATGATCAGTGCTCACCTGACTCAGTCCCTGCAGAGTCCTTTCTTCCTTACCTAGCTCTTTGCTACCTAGGTTGTTGCTGTTTATCCACAACCAACCTGTTCTTTCTCACATGTTCCAAGTCTTTGCCTAGCGTGTCTTGAAAAAATCATTGACAACAAAAAGAAAATCCCTGAGACAACAGACTTATTCTGCTGTAGCACTCACAGTAAGCGTCTTTTTGCAGTCCACAGGGTCAGCAAAGAGAGACAGTTACAATAGGCATAAACTGTCAAAGAATTGTCCTGTCACAATGTCATCCATAAATTATTGCTATGGCTGAAGAATAAAATAAGCGCTGTCATTTAAATACATCACTTAAGGAATGACTCTCAGTGTTTCCAGTCTCTTTCTATCCTGCTATAAATCTTTTAAAATCAATGAAAACTTTGTCACTCTTATTAACATATCAGCGTGTCTGTAAAATATGTTTTAAAGGCTGTGAAATGAGTCCAACTTTTCTCATAAGGAGACTTTGCATTCTCTCCTTATGTGCCGACTTGGGTAAAACCTGTTTTCAAGAAATACATTAACACTCTCTTGCTGTTGTGGGTCTGCAGACCATCCACTCTTACTGCAGTGGAGCACTGGGTCCCAGTGCTCAGACTTGCTGTAGTCTATAACAAACCCTTTATTGCGCAGCTGATGCCTCAAGGAGACACTGACTCCTGCTTTGACAGCTGCTCTCCTACTGCATTGCTTTCACTCGTGGCATTGCAAATTGACCCTGGATAAATTTTCTGCAAGTGGAGGTTAGTCCCTGTTGCTGGGAAGATGGTGGTCCTGAATGTACACTGCTCATTTCTACAGTGGTCGTGCGCTGTGAGCACTGCGAAGGCAAGGCAAGCCCCAAATCAACAAATAAGTCCCTACCTCTGACATCTCTCCGGTCCTCTGACCTGTTCTCCCAAACTCGGTCCGTCCTGCACACAGGTGCTTTGCTGAGACCCATCAGTGCTTGTAGCATGGGTATAGCGTACAGGGGGGCTATGCTTCTGACTCAGGGGGGCTCGGAGACTGCTGCCTTGTGTGAGTTCCTTTGCTCCAAGCAGCAAGAACTGAGTGGAAGCCCTGAGCTATTGCTCCTGCTGGGCAAGATACCATCACTCGGTGGACTGGGAGATACTGTGCCTCTGTGTGAAGCAGCGGCTTCTACAGAGTTGAGATCAATGATAACTTGCTGTGGTGTAAGGAAACCTGCTCTGAGGTGGCTGTATGAACTCAACAAGAGCTGCGAGCAGCTCCAGTGAGATCCCACCCTGATAAATCAGTGCACCAGTACTGATTAGAAGGTAGGACGGTGAGATTTTTATCAGAGTGGGGTGGCAGAAAAACAGGTTCCCTGCCTATTGCTAAAGGGAA